GTATTTCACAATAAAAAAATAATAATTAAAAATAAATTTGGCATTTATTAAACTATGTAGTATAGCCTACTGCCTCCTAAACCGTGTGTTTTGGCAGGGGTAATGTAGGAGAGCAGCTAGGTTGGGATTTCCAGGGCTCAGGGTCAGGTGGAGCTGAACTATCAAATTCCACTCCCTGATTTAGCAGGGAGGTGATGAAGGTGGTCATGGAACTTTCCTATTCTTCTATTCCAGGCCTTCTCAAACTTTTACGGTGTCTCAGAGTCGCTTGAGGGGGGGTGGGGGGTGGGGGGCTTGTTAGAATAAAGATTACTGGGCTCCATTCCCAGTTTCTGATTCAATGGGTCTGGGATGGGGCTCAAGAATCTGCATTTCTAGTAAGTTCTGGGGATACTGCCGCTGCTGGTGGGGTGTAGGGAAGAGCCACACTTTGAGGACCATGGCTCTCGTTCACTGCAGTTCCCTCTTCACTGGGCTCTCTCATTTTAGTTTCTAGCCCCAGTTTAATGAAATGTCCTTGAAGTCTAGTATTTTAGGGAGATGTGGAGCCTTGAGATGCCAGGCACTGCCCAGGCCCATTTCCTATTGTGGACCCTGCTCTGGGCTTCTCACTTGGATTCAGGTTCCTACAGCTGGAAATGTGCTTCGCAGATCTTGGCTACAAAAAACACAATTGTGTCTTTCTGCCACCATTTGTTTAGACTCCCAGCTGCAGCCAAACATTTGAACCTCAGGAATGGAGTACCATAATTATATGTACTTTGTGCTGACAGCAACTGCTGATTACCTCAGACCAGGTGTGAATCATTACTTTCCACAGGGCGTTCCAATTGCTGAAGGAAATGATTGATGAACCGAAGAGATCCAAAGATGTCAGATAAATCTCTATCTTAGCAGTGAATAAGGACATGCCAAAGTTAATTGTGTTTCCTTTTGTGTTTTTTTATAGTCATTCCTTGGTGTCCATGGAGGATTGGTTCCAGGACCCTCGCAGATATCAAAATCTAAGGATGTTCAACTATCATATAAAATGACAAAGAGTATTTGCATATAACCAATGCAATCCTTCTGTATAGTTTAAGTCACCTTGAGACAACTTATAATACCTAATTCAGTATAGATGCTACATAAATAGTTGTTACATTGTATTGTTTAGGGAATAATGACAAGAAGAAAAAGTCTGTACACATTCACCACAGACACGCCATCATAGACTGAATTGCATACTACACGTAGGCAACAATGTAACTTTCTTTTTTGAATATTTATGACTCCAGGTTGGTTGAGTTGGCAGATATGGATGGAACCCATGGATATAGAGTGCCGGCTGTATTTCCAAGAGAATTAAGGCCCTTCATAAAGTTTGGCCCCTGAGCAGCTTCATGGGATGAAGGAAAGCAGCTGCTACCATCTTTTGGCACTGAAACCACTACATGGTGGAATAAAAATATACTTGGGAAGTGACTGTATTGAAATTCATGGCAGGTGGGGATAGTTTCTCTCTCCCTTTAGGGAATTTGCCATACTGATGCTTTGGCTGGACCCTGTCTCCTCAGGAGGTCCTTTTGCCCAAACTGGGACATGTAGTTCCCTTGTGAAATTAGGAGGCTCATCTAGGCTTGTGACATATTCCCAGGTGGACACTGAGGAAGGCAGCTACCTGGGGATTATTTCTGAAGGTGCCCAGGAAGGTACAGTCAGGGT